CACGAATATTCTTGACCAAATAATAAAAGAAGAGAGAGAGATAGAAAAGAAAGAGGAAATGAAGGAAGAATGGGAATGTTTTAGAAAGAGTGAGCAAAGAAAAGTTACAGCAAATGATAACAAAGAAAATAGCAACATACACTCGCACAACTAAAATAGTTTGATGAAATATTTTCTGAACGATAGAGATTAACAACGAATGAACGATGAACGAATGAGACGAACGAACTGTAGTTTTTTGTGCTTCTCTCGAGATCTGTGTATATGTGTTTATATGTTGTTCACCACATGTAACTATATGGTTACAAGTCATGAATATTGAATGTGTTAATTAATCCAGGATGTATTGAATGCATGAATATATTGACAACCACAAACTAGAGACGAACATTCAACTTTCATTCAGCCAACTGGAATTATTTTTAAGATATTGCGTCATATAGAATAAAGTCAAAAAACTGAACTTGAGGTAGGTAGATGCCACTATTAATGAATTGGTAGCTACAAAAGATCTATTACATGAAATTTTTTTTAGAATTCATATTTGCAGTTCAGCCTAAACACAATTTAATCCTGCAAATCTTTACAATTATTGTGTTGTGTTTAGCAACAATCTACCCCTATACACCAGCAAGATTAAATTTGCTCTTAAATCGCAACATTATAATGAGTTAACAGCTATCGTATAATCATATTGTGATGTGTGTGAAATTATAATAAATAATTTAGGCTGAGATTGAAACAGACCTTGTTGCTGATAATATTGATGGAACCAATGATGACATCACTCCTTGCAGCCCATCTGGTTCACCTTCAACTTCGATACCCAACACTTCTTCAGATACACCTTCACCTTCCGTGTCCAAATCATTGCGAACTCCTCCAGTTACTAAGTCATAGTCAATTCATATTATAATTCCAACAATTTGGTCAAAAAGTACTCAGGCATGTCTTGCTGAAAAAGGGCAACCCCAGATGTTCGTCGGGAAATTGTTTATACTTGATGTGTTATGATGAGGGCTGGAGTTCCTGCAACTACGACGAGAATCAAGAGTGAGAAGGTTGCTAATGCTATTGTTGCTCAATACCCTTTTTAGCTGACCCTTACGGAAAATCTCGATCTGTAAGTTACAATTATTCATTATTGTTATAGGCAGTATTTTACATGTATGTCTATGGATGGTTAGAGACACATAAAAATAATTTATTAACATTTATCTTTATATTACTTTCAGAGCTCATGGAAATTGAAATTCTTTGAGTGCATCATAACACAGAGAAATATGAAAGGCAAAAGAAAAAGGAGCAAGGTATCTAAACCCTTAGAAGTAGTACTAAGGGCAAAGGAAAAACAAGACGAAGTCTTGGCATAACAGCTGTGACAGACATGACGATTGATGAAGAGAATGAAGAATCACTACTAGATGCTAATGCAACAGAGATGAGAAATTAAGATGTCAGGATTGATGTACTGAAGCCATTGACATCAGCTACATTTAACAGTAGATGTCTCAAAATAGTTCAATTGCCTATTCGCCTGGTTGTTGAAGTATATCAACCATTGCACTTGCCTGATATTGCAAGTTAAATAATTTTTTTACTTTCACTTAATGTTTGTGTAGCTTGAGCATGAATTTATGTTAGTCATGAGCAAATCTGAAGTAAAAGATTGTTTTCTTCACAATTGGAAGGATGGCAACAGCCAATTATTAAATATTAAAAAACTATTCATCGGAAGCTACAAATAGACATTTTATCAACTGATGACACTGGTAAATTTTATAACTCTGTCATTAAAATTTTATATAACTTATTTTATATGTAGATTTTAATAAAGATGTTGCCGTTTTGAAGATCATAGTAGCTATGTTTCTTTTGAAAGGCACTACCTTTGAATCTACTTTTCCATTGCTAAATTCTAAATGTGAGGTAAAATATATAATACATGTTCATACACCAGATATAGTAAGCAATGTAACAATTGCTATTGTTCGAGTTTTACATTGTACAATAATGTATTAATGTACTTATAGGTTGGACTACCAATGGAAGAAGAGGCGACACATTATCCCAAGAGTAATATGCCTAGAATTGTCCAGTTTGGTAGATCTCAGTATTTTACAATTGCTGAGCAAGAGGTCCTCACAGAAAAAGATAATATCACTGATGCGATATATCTGGTTCATCACACATTTCACATTTAACATTAATTATGATAAATTTCTCATGCACGTTGGTCTTTTTTCCAAGATAATATCCTTCAATACACAGACAACAGCAGTAGAAGTGCGAAGTATAACTCAATTTTTGGAGATCCGAAACAGTTAAGAAGGAAATAGTTAGCATTGGAGCATAGATGTACTCATTTTATTTTACCATTTGTAGGCAAAGCTTAGTTGAAGATTCAAGACTAGAGGCACCCATTATTAGTAGATCAAGTAGGAATATCTATTAATATTATTGTTATTAATTCAAATGTCAATACCCAGCCTAAGATCTTTTGCGCATGCACACTGCACTTCTCTCAAACATGGCTATCCGGGTACACCTGTTTTACTGCCTCTGTCTCAGCTAAGCATTTTGTAAGTTGTGCAAAGCTACTCAATTATATACCGTAATTGTGACACTTTTTGGATCAACTAGGACATTTGCCTCCCGGAAATAAGAATGGATTGTGGGCATGGCGACCCCGCCCACACAACATCAATTCTATGACGCGTTGATGGACGTGTCAATTACAAAATGGCGACTAAATTACAAACATTTTTATGGTTGATGAAGTGCTATGCAAGTTTGCTTCATAGTTGTAGTTTAACAACCTTCTGTTCATATAGTTTCAGCTATCCTTCATGGCACAGTCATTTGCATTTGTAAACTTTAAAAGTTCAAATAACACTTGATGAAAACTAGGAAATTAATTTACCACCTATTTCTCCACAAAAACGTTAGTAGCATTATGTACAGGAAAGCTGTGCAGGTAGAGTCAAAGTTGTATGTACACCACTAGTCCTGGTCTGCTAGCATGTATTCTCTTTATTCGTGCACACACTAATTATCTCAGAACACATGGACTCCTGTCACAAACCAAGGACTGTATCAGGTGAGTCTACTTTAAGCAGAAGGAAACAAAAGCTGCCTACAAATACTCTGGGTTGCATACAGTGAGTGCCATGGTTTGGGACACATGCAATGGCAGTTTCCTACTTGTATTCAGTCCCCACTGCTGAGTTTGTATTTCAATTCTGTGTGTACAAAACATAGCATTCAAGCAGTGCATGACTAATTTCCTAAAAATTAATACTGTTGCCTTTAGATGTAACCTACCTATGACTGAGAGAAAAAGGGCTCTAGCAGGTTCCCATTTGGTATCTTGGTCCTGCCGTACTTGTAAGACTGCCAGGTCCATTAGAGACAGAAGCTTCTTTTCAGGGTCCAAATTGACTTTGCAACAGTGGAATATAGCAATTTTCTGGTGGTCACGGGAGTATCCAGTCACTGAAATGGCACTTGAAGCTAGCATAACAGCAAAAACAGCCTGCAACATCTATCATTGGCTACGAGAGGTTTGTTCAACCCATTTAATGTCTTCGCTAATATTTTTAGGAGGACCAGAAGTTATTGTACTGATCGATGCTTCTTTGTTCAACCATAAGTCTAAAGTAAATAAAATTATGATAACTTAACCATAAATATAAAATTTATTATTATAGAATCACTGACGCAGACCACCACATAATGAACAATGGATCTTTGGGCAAGTAGATACATTTTGACACCAGCACTAGGCTACAGGGAGATTGTACCAAATCGACTAACTCCAACCCTTTTACCCATCATACAGAATCATGTTGCTATGAGTACAATTGTGCATTCAGGCAAATGGAGAGCATACCGTGGCTGTAGCAGCTTTGCCGACTGTACTGAGTCATGGAACAGTTAATCACTCCATCACATTTGTTGTTCCTTCTACAGGAGTGCATCACAACATATTGAATTGTATTGGAATAGTGCGAAGATAAAGCTAAAAAGGATGAAAGGGTGTCACAGCCACCAGATACCTTTATACTTAGATGAATTTATGTGGCGAGAGAGACATGGAAAGACATCCATAGACGCTTTTCATAATCATATGCAGCACATTTCATAGCAGTACCCAGTTTAAACTATGTAAATAAATAAATAATAGCAATAGGTATTAGTAGCGTAAATCCTTAAATAGAAGCCGCATTCGAATAAATGCCAGGGTAACAATACAATTAAACTATAAATACGCAACACTAGCCCAGGAGTGACTCAGTAGTCTAGTGGATAATGCCTGAAGTTCCAGAAGTCGAAAGCATGAGGTTATGGGTTCAAATCCCACTCTGGGCTAAAGTTTTTTTATTATAGATATTTTTTCGAGATCCAAATACCATTTTAGGAAATAAATGCCCGGGCTTTTATTTAAGGAAATACGGTAACAGACAATTGTAAAACATTGAAAGAGCGAGCCTAAGCAAGAAAAGCAATGTACATAGAATAGATATTGACAGACTAACAATACTCATGACAGTGCAACTTAAGCAGCTCAGAACTTGATTGAGTGCAGTGTAGTACTTGACCTACCTTTGTAATCAAATCAAATTTAGCATTTGGAAAGCATAAAAGATAGCAAGAAACAGTCACTGCACAACTGATATGGCCAGATGGGCAACTGTAGCAATGTAGTTCAATTTAGTTCAGGTTGTGACAGACATTCAAAGTCATTCACATCAATAAAGATGGCATATCTGCTTTCTTGACATTCCTTGCAGCATTTGGACAGTAGTATAAAAGTACAGTAAGTCGAGTTACCAGCAAAAACAAGTTTCATAGTTACTTTATTGCATCTATTGACCAGATCCCAGCTAATACTTTGCCGTAAATATTCATAAACAAATATTATATTTTAATTGAGAATAAATTCAAAACGCCATTTTGGGGGCATACTAGCATAGCAAATCTGTAAAAACTAAATAAAAATGCCTCCATACCACTCTGTTGTGAAATGTAATAACATTAGAGGTAAAGCAGATGTAAGTTTCTTCAGGTTTCCAAAAAATAGAGTCAAGAATTTAGCTTGGGTGGCACGTTTAACCAGAAAGAACTGGAAGCCATCTCCACACTCTAGAATTTGTAGTGCTCATTTTGTCAATGGTAAGTAGACATCATTTACTTATTTTAACTCTCTCATGAGTACTTAAGAAATCCATTAGCAGTGAACTATGCTCCGAAAATATTTTCCTACACTGATGCATATATGGCCTCCCAATTTACATTGAATCGCATTGAAAGGGCTGTTAAACGTTCATGAAGAAGAAACTACACAAAAAGAGATAATAACATTTAAGTTACATGCATTAGTAGCTAATGATCAGCTTGATAAGGGGAAGGAATTTAATGCTGAGGATTGTCAAGATGTTGATGAGAGCACTGAAACAGTTGAAGATGAGTTAGTGGAAGTACAGGGAGATGAGGAACTAAATGAGAATGTAGAATTAGAGGAAGATGAGGATTGATTGCGACTAATGAAGGTCATACAGAGGAAGATGAGGAACCAAGTCCGTTGATTGCGACTAATGAAAGCCATACAGAGGAAAATGAGGAACCAAGTCCGTTGATTGTGACGATACAGAGGAAGATGAGGAATCCAGTCCGCTTAATAATGATGAAGATTTTTAGTCTGATAGTTCAGCTACAAAAGATGCCTTTGATCATGAGACTGATGCAGAATTACATCGTGTGGCTCAGGACTTGTCTGAAGAAGTATGTGACTTGCAGTTTGGAAATGAGTCACTAAAAGCTAAAAATTGCCAGCTACAAAAGGAGAATGGCACCTTAAAAGCATGTTTGCAATGTTCTTCACACAATGCTTCAAGCATTGTAAACTTGTACTCAGAAACAGTAAAGGATAATATTTTGTTGGCAGACTCTGTGAATACATATTGTTTTCAGTTGATTGCATTTTTGGGACTGATAACATGACAGAATTTTACACTGGTCTTCAATACTATGATGTCTATGAAACTCTTTTTTCACTTTTAAAAGTAAAAGTGAAGGAAAGCATAACAAGAAAATGCACTATTAAGGATGAAATATTGCTGACGCTAGTAAAATTAAAATTAGGCCTTACTAACCAGGATATTGCATATTGTACTGGCATCAATGTAAACAAAGTTTCACCAATATTTCAAAGGTGGCTTGACATTATGTATCGAGAGTTCAGACAACTTATAGCATGGCCTGAAAGAGAGAGGTTGTATGAAACTCTGCCAGTTACTTTCAAAAAACACTATTTTGACTTAATTTGCCAATATTGACTGTTTTCAGGTTTTTACAGAGAAGTCAGCTTCAATTGAGCCAAGATCTACTAAGTGCAGTCAACACAAGAAGCACAACACTTTTAAAATTTTAATGGCATGTTCGCCAACAGGTGCCACAACATTTGTGTCAAAGGCTTGGGGTGGAAATGTTGCAGATAAACTAAAAACACAACAATCTGGATTTCTTGACTACATTTCCAATGGGGACATAGTTATGGCCTATAGAAGTTTTAACATTTCTTTTGATTTAGCGGTAAGAGGTGCCCATCTAGCAATTCCAGCATTACACGACGTAAAAAGCTGCTATCTGGAGTAGAGGTAGAAAAAAGTAGACAATTGGCACATCTACGTATACACATTGAAAGATTGATCCGTTTGCTTTGTAATAAGTAAAGATATTGAAAGGTGTACTTCCAATTACATTAATAACACGACAAACTGATACTACTGTAACTACAGTTGATACAATTGTAACTGTAGCAGCTGCTTTGACTAATCTGTCTAAATCTATAGTACTGAAATAGTAATGCATAATGTAACTTTATTTTCAATTTTAATGTGATCATTAAATATTAATCAACTGAATTATTAAAAAAATTACTTGCAATTCTCGCAATACCAATTTCCTACTGGGTTGGTTGTGATTCCAACACAGTTATAGTGGAACCATTCCAAAGCACAAGAAGGGTTATCACAAGCAATTATACTACCATATTCTTCCTCTCCACAATAACTGAATACCCTCTTGTTCACTATTGGTTTGCTATTGTCCTTTAGCCCCTGAGATATTAACTCCAGCAAAAGAAAACTGATGAACAAATCTTTGCATGAAAAAACAATTTCACCTTGTAACGAAGTATCCTCCATTATAGTTTCCAAGTGCATACCTTCAAGAGTCCAACACATAAAATGGCACCTCTTCAGTTTACACACAAGAAGTTGTCCTTGAATTTGTGTATCATACTCATGACATCTATTAAGTGACACAACATCATCTTTTACTAAGAAGTGATATTTCTCAAGAACCTCATCAGAGTAGCACATAAGTCCTTCACACTGTATGGACACTTTATCTCAATAATACTGCCCCCGCAGCAATCACAATGACTGAAACCATCTGGAGTTGCTCTAAGAAATGGCAAGTTTGAAACAATAATAAGGTTGCCAACAGACATCACAAAATTTGTATGTGATTGCTCCATCATTGATGAGTACTGTTGCCTTGCAATATCTTCATTATCACTTTTGTGCTGGGATATTGGGATTGACAGTGTCATACTGCATGATTGACTTCACTAATGACATTGGATACTGCTTCCTCTTACACTTCATAACTTGGTGCATTTTCGATGCTGTAATTCTTCCTACCCTGTGCTGCATCCAAAGGTGTGACTCTGCCTGTTCCTTTGTCAGTTCTGACAGATTCTTAGCTTGATCCTCTGTCACTCTAATACTATCAAATTTTCTGTTGCACAATTCTTGAATGTCAGCCTCTTTAACGTTGAAATGAAACAAATTTGAAAGCAGGGGAGGAAGGTCTACAACCAAATCTTCTACATCACCTAACAAGGGACATCACGAATGTTAAGAAACAATCATTATATCATACTTTAATCTACAGAATTGTTTGGGCACACTTCTGTTGTGGAATTGGTGCTTGTACTGGCATACTCTAAAGAAATTAAGATTTAATGATATTGAAATAAATCACTTTACTATCTGCACTATTTATTTCCTCATCAATGTTGTGTGACTTCCTTAATGGTACTGTACCTGTAACAACAGATTAAGAGAGAAATTGAAACAAAGGCTTACTACAATCAGATGTTGATAATCCAGAAACAACACTGAAGATAACAGCATTGGGAAAAGCTCCATGCAAAGCTTGTAGCAAATCATTTCGTGAGATTGTTGCGGAATAGTCTTCAATTTCAGACACTGTCAGAGACGAATTTCGTCCTTCCTTTCTAAATCTTTTTGCTGGTTTTTCAAAATTAATGTCAATCACAGAACTTGCATTTGTCTATCAGTAAAATACTTGTAGACAGAAATATTAAGAATAAAACATGCCTTCTCTGAAAAAGTCTGATTTCTCACACATGGTAAAGAACTACAACTTACATCAGCAATTTTCAATCTAATGTAGGCTTCGACTTGAAATACAATTGCAGCAATATGACAGCAGACCTCTCCACACCTGTGTTTTAGTATAAATAGTATACTTTATTAAATTTATGTACCCTGCCATGCATTTACAATGACCAGTGATGATACGCCCATCTCTTTTGTTCACTGCTACCCAAGCGAGATGAAGGACTGTAGCTTTTTGTGATGCATGTACTTTTGCTTTTACGACACATACAGAAGGGTTAGACTCATAACAGAAATACAATACAGTTTGAACATAACCACTGAACACAGAAATATCATGAAAGCAGATAAACAAATTAATCTCACTTTATGTAGTAGCTATATGCCTCCAAACTCTTATAAGCTTGTAGCTTTTCTCTAGTGTATGGCCTGGAGTATCAATTAAATAGTTATGAATGTCACCATACTTTATAGGTGGCTAAAGACTAATGTTATCCACCCATCCATCAGAAATTTTATTTGTATCCATACTACTGGAATACTGTTTCTTCTTAGAAATAAGCTCCAGTTTAGCCTCATATTGTTTCTTTTTAGCAATGGGAAGAGAATTGTAATACAAATCTGTCGAACCAGTCACCATAAAATGGATAAAGAGTAGTGTTTGATCAATTTAAGACGCTTCTTCACTGTTTCAAATAGCACAGTATACCCCTAATATGGCCGACAGGAAACCCCACCCTTCATTCTGCATTAGTTTGTTTATAAATATTTATGGAAATAATAACTGGGATCTGGTGGATAACCTTGCCTGGCTGTTGGAGAAGCCTTTGGACAGAAATTTCTGTCTTATTTTGCTGATAGAAAACTCATGACTTGTCCCCATGTGTTGGTCGCCATTTTATTTCATTGTGGCCACTCCCACATTTAATGAAATATTTAAAACTGAATTTATATACCCTTTTCAATGCATAGCAACTACTGTATTACACATAAATAGGTGTGACGTACGTGTACATACAGACAGACAAGGCATACTTGTGTTGTTTCAGGCTCGCCCCAAAAATAATAACTGTATGTAACAATAGTAATAATAATTGTACATCAGGCCACCAAATTAATTTAGCCCAGCCTATATATTGGCTCACTAACTAGTGCACAGGCTTCTCATGCATGCACAAACTACATATAATAGATGTATTGATAATGTTTACACCTCAGTTTAGACACAGTTCACAAGTAATGACATCTAACCTCTGTCACTGGGAGGGGACGTGGTAGTGAACAAAGTATGCTGTGGGACTTTAGCAACTATGAAGATAACTTGTAGTGATGTACCGATACTGATATTAGTATCAGTATCGGCATTATTTTAGCTGTATCGGTAAGAATCGGTTTGATAATTAAAGTTTGCCGATATTAATAATTACTAATTAACTACCGACACACCCACATCAAAATGGCTGAGGCACATGTTGAAGAGTGTGAAGAAGGTCCAAGCCAAAGTCTCTTAATCCCAAGCGGTTCTACTTCTTCAGAACGTAAAAAGAAGAGTGCTATCTGGGCATTTTATTCTGTAAGCCCGAATGACTCGAGTAAAGCAGTGTGTCACACATGCAAAGAACAAGTGTCTCGTGGTGGGAAAACGTCTAGATCATTTAATACTACTAATCTTCGCAAGCACTTAGAGATTCATCCTGATAAGTACAAGGAATTTTGTACGGTAGAAGAAGAAAGTGCGAAAGAAAAATCAATTGGGAAACGACAGTTAACGTTGGAAACTACTCTGCTGTTAATTGCTGTTAATTGCTGTTATTCTGGACATGGTTTACTTTTTACAACCTGAGGATGTCGCCCCCAGGTCGTCCTAAAATTGATTTCACCCACGTGCGATATATACATATATTTGTATGTCAACACTTACATGTCTTGTATACATGTTGTATTGGAGAAATAACAAGCCTTAGCAACCACCCACCCACGCTACGTAAGTGGTTGTGGTTACGGCAAACAAAATGACGGCTTGCACATGGGACAAAGTTACGAACTTTCTAACAGCAAAAGAACATAGAGATAGTATCTAAAAGTCTTCTCTGGAAGAATTAGAA